GAGAGCTACCCTGCTGGGGGTGAATAGGGAGAGGTATGGAGAAAGCTCCTCATAGCGCAAAGTAGAGGAGGCAAAGGAGACACAGACCAAGAGAGCCCCTCACAGTACAAGGCCAAAGCAGCTGGAGTGATAGGGTATAAGAGTGCGTGGGAAAAACCCCAAAACACCTGCCTTATTGAGGGCAGGGAGTGGGCAGCTGAGGTGGGTCAGGCCCCTCCAGCCCTACAAAACCCCACAGCCCAGTGGAGGGTAGCACTCCATGTCCACCCCATACCAGGCCATCCCAAAGATGCTTCCTCTTGCTCAGATGGTGCGACAGCAGCAGGCTGGCTTCAGCAAGAGGATGTGGCTCCATGAGGGTCTTCTTGAGGGCAGCTTGCGTTGAAGGAGGTGGTGGTGGAAGGGAAGTTCTCCAGGCTCTTGGAGGCCATGTGTGCTTCCAGATGCAGCTGAGCTTTCCAGTCAGCAACATGCATGGCAAACGTGCTTTCGGGGCCCTTGCTCCAGCTCCTGCCTGTGTGGCAGTTGCCCACCCTGTAGCGTTACACTCTGCCCTACAGAGAGGGGCCACAGCTCTTCTTGAAGTCTATCCAGCTTTCTCTTCAGGCACTGCTGACCTACTCCCCACCTGCTCTCAGAGAACCTCCATCCCTCCAGTCAACCCTTTCTCTCCCTTTTCTCTTTCTACTTGTATCACCCCAGCACTCTTTGTGCAGCTACCTCTTACCCCTGCTCCTTCCAATCTGTTCCTCATCTCCCTCCATCTTTTTCTTCCTTATCCCTGCTCCCATTCCTCTGTCCCTTTAGGGACCCTCCTCTTCCCTGCTGTGTCAGCCCCACTTCTCCCTTTCACGGCTCATGTTACCCCTTCCCTCTTGTGTCTCCTCCTCCTTTCCCCAAGCTAGCCTGGTAGAACCTCCTCCAGGCAGGGAGGCTGATTAGCATTGCAAACACATAGAGACCTCCTCAGACTGACATAAATCTTCATTTGTTAGTCATGAATATTTCACACCTGCCTCAGGAGGGATTTATTCAGCATGGAAGAGTGGGGAACTGAAGAGGGGAACATAGCACTGCAGCATAAGATGAGGCAGCACCTGCAGGGAAGCGAAAAGACTCTGCCCCATGGCAACAGCAATACTAGGGCCTCATGTTTACTCCACTGAGCACAAGAGTCCAGCCCAGGCTCCCCCTGAGCCTGTTCCTTGGGGGAGAGGACAGGTCGACACCCACCTTCATTCTTCACCTCCCTCTCTTTCTTGTGAAGTAAAGTAAATTGTTTTCCCTGCCAAGATTCACCAACCCAGAAACAAAATGTGAAGGGAGCCGGTCCTAGTTCTGACCCATGGATCCACTTTGCTCTGGAGGAAGGCAGGATTGAAGGGCCCTCACCAAAGCTAAGCCACAGAGAGCTTAGAAGCCTCATACAGTCTCTCCACACTCTTCCCCAGCATAGAGGCCTTACAGGTTCCCTCACACCCTGCCCTCCGCAAGGTCCACCCACAGGGGACGAGCGGTAGGACAGACCTAATCCAGAGCCCCCTGTAATCAGTGGAGGGGGTTTCTAGTGATGGCAACAGGCTCCAAATCAAGCTTTCACTATATCAGAGGTTTCTCTGCAGCTGAGGCACTCCTTGTTTCTCCAAGAACAGCCTTGCTTGTAGACTCACTCCCGTTTCTAAATAATTAGGAGGAACGACGACCACTAGAAAGAGCAGGTCTTTGATGTACAACACATCCCCCTTCACACATGCAACCCTGAAAAATAGTTAAAAGAGGACGTTTGGAGCCAGAGAACGGGGACACCTGAAAGGGGAAGGGTTGCTTCTTACGGGGCTGATTCAGCTGGGTTCTCTTTAGAGTGTGTTCCCTCCAAAACTGATGGGAGTCTCTCATAAAAATCACATCAGGGATGAGGAAAGGAAGCAGGGAAAACAAGGACAAGGGCAAGAGAGACTTTAGGGAAAGGGGATAACTTCCAACAAACTGGCACATACACAACAGGTGTTTGCTGAGAAAAATACAGTAAAATCATCATGCAAATAGAACGCTAAATCTGCTTGCCTCCAACAGGGCTGGCATCACTTCGCGAGCCCTTGTCCCTGGGGAGGGAGCAGGACAGGGAAGGGAGGAGGAAGGAAGGTGGGACACTTTATTCCCCTCCTTTGCCTTCTTCCTCCCACAGAACAGTCCATCTTGTGCAAACTTCACCCACTGATTTGAGGTGGGGGGCTACAGTGGGAACAGAAATGGCTTGTCCCCCCTACCCAGCCTTATCCCCACCACAGGCAAAAGAAGGGCCTGACAACAGATATATCCTTGACCTTTCTTTTCTGCCTTGTTGGGGTGAAGGGAGGAAGGAGCAGAAACCATTACAGGTTAAGGCTCCCACCCCAAGCTATAGAATGAGTGGAATTGATTACGGGACCACACAGCAGAGGGGAAGCGCAGGGGGGAAAAGGGGGAGAGGAACAGGACTTCCTCCCCCCATGCTTGTTATCTTCCTTTTCCTGTCCAATTCTGCCCCTCAGCCATTTGCCTTTCCTGCTTGGATGGTTGTCATGCTGGAAGACCACTGGGCTTGCTCCGTGTGGTAACTGGACAGGTCTCTGCTGTGTCTAAGCATTTGTCACAGCATTTTCCTATCTTGACTTGCTGCAATATCCCAACATGAAGGCACCCTGGCAGCAGTCATGCAACTTCTCTTCATCCCCCTGCACATACATGTGTGCAAACACTCCCATTCTCCTAGGCTGCACCAGCTCTTACAGGGTGGAGTCAATCCATGAATACCTCTGGCCTCAACTCAAGGCAACACAATGTTTGACTGGAGGAAAGCAGGCTGATAGTAAAGGGGACTGAGATATGGTACTCCAGGAATGC